TATAATGTACAGCTTACAATTGTTTAATAAAGCACACATAACTAGCCTGACAGAGGGTTATAATAAAAAAAAAATATTTGGATTAATGCGACCTGTGGGTCAATAGTGTAGTAGTAGCGCTTCCAGGTTTCCATGCACTGCTTCTGAGTTCAATACCACTGCAAAGCAATATCACCTAAGCCTAAGTGATACAGGAAGATCTCATTCCCTTCATGATGATAATTCCTGCCATTTCTGGCCAAGATCCCATCTGATCATGGGATAATCAAAAAGATCATAAGATGCTTCAGTCAGTTTTAATGCTGAAGTCACCTTGTCACAAAACAGATTCTTACAAGCTCCTGCAAATAGGTTGAAGATTTGCACGCCGTAATCCGAGGAGGCTAGCAGAGCCTAGGCATATTAGTTAGAAGAGAGTTTCTACCAAATCGATATCCATTCAAGACTCCACGTAGTCACTCCATAGGCAGGTTGTAATAAATCATGTAAAAAGAGTACTCTGGTGGGACGAGATGACATCTAAGACTCCACGTGAGTATTCCGTAGACATATTGTAATAAGTATTGTAAAAAGAATATTTGGCGGGATGAAATACAAAAGGGGTCCTGTGTTACAGATCCCGTATCTGTAGAAATAAGGGTAAGAGAAGGATAACACAGACGTAGGTAAGGAGGTAGTAGGGCTTCTTCCAGCAACAAGCCATGATAGGATTTAAGTGGTCAATCAGGTTTCATTGATATAATAGTGGAGTGTATACAGCTTGCATGTAGTTAGCAGTAAATACTGATTATAGAATTGCTTTGTATATTAGTAGCTATATATGTAAGGCCATTTTATCGACTTCAATAAAACTGGGCTTTGTTATCCTATTAAAAATATATATATATATATATATTTAGATTAATGCAATTAAAAAAGTAAGACAAGAACCAGAAATCAATTAACTTTTTTTTTTTATTAATTATATTATTAAAATATATTGTACCCTATAAGAGTTTATTTATATTTTACTATTTATATGATTTGTATTAATCAATTATCTTTAAATCAATTTGTGTTATTTTAAATTCAAGATTAAACTGAGGTAAACAAAATTCTTTAAAAAATTAAAAAATGAGTAATTACAAGAGAATAAAAACAATAGACAAAAAGAGTTTCATGATTTAAACTTTTGTTTGTCCATTCTTTCACTGCACAAAACCTCTATATGTATCTTTGTTTTAGAAAAGAGGTTTTTAATATTGCACTATTGATTTTTCTTTCTCTTAAACTTTCTTGTCATAGGTAAAACAATGTGTTTCATGACTTTTCTTGATTGCCAGAAGTCAAGTTTTTATGTGAAAGGAATATAAATAAGAAAGAAGCAGTAGAAGTGACTCTTGAAGTTATCTTTCAAATTGGTTTAAGGAAAGTAAGCTCTTCTATTTGTCTTGATAGCTAGAAGTTTGCTCATGTTAATTTATACAGCGTGATAATATAACACATGGTTCATCATCAAAGAATGAGGACCGTGAACAATAAGACCGGCCCGAAGTGCTTTTATAAACCCTAGTTGATTCTGTTAAAGATTATTATCGTTTTCTTGGCGTTATAAATTACATACCCGTCTACACCTTTAACAAATTAACGTTTTTTGTTTTATTTCGCTAAAATAACATTGATAAATTTTCGATTTTATGATGATTATTTAGGCATAAAACTCACACTAAATATATTAAAAGAAATTTTTCTTGGTAGCGACTTAGCGATTAACCTTGAAGCGAGAAAAGAATAAGGGAGAAATACTATTATATGTGTACTAAAAATTAAAGATTCGCATCATGATGGTATCATCCACCTAATAAACAATGTCATCTGATTTGAAACGCTTATTCGAATCCCCAATGTCTGAACTTCCGTCAGTACTATAATCCTCTGATGTCATTAACCTCTTGTTATCATCTTTAGTCATTTCCCTTCTAACAACCTTAAATACTTCATAATTAGTAAGAGAAAATGATTCCCGATCAAGAATAGACTTTTCATATGATTTCTGTATACATTTTCCCGAGAACCATTGCAAGTCATGACTAAAGCTTGGGCTTCTCATACCATTCCAAATAGCAGCTTTATTTGTTTTGATACGAGAAAGAATATTAGATTCGGGTTCATAGCCATGTTTCTCCATCGAAAATAAGAAGCTTTTTGATGTCTCTCCCCATCCTCCCTCACTTTTCCAATGGATTGGATTGTACCCACCGAGTACCCGGTTCGAGTTAGCAAGTTCTATTATTACGACTGTTGGACCTTGGTTGTCACATCGTTCATGAAATTTAAACGTATCATTTGTTCCATCTCGACTACCACGTAAAAGGAGATGAAAATTATATGGTATATCTATTGGTGTATATACATTCATATCGATGAAATCGTCTATCCATGCAGCAATCTGGCAAAAGTGTTTCATGGTGATCAACTTAGAATTGTACATGGTTGATTCTTCTGTCCGCGGTGGAAGTCTGATAAATTGCTTGGGTGCAATATTAGCAAAGAAATAATCCTTGATTTCTTCTCTTAATTCCTTCGGTAGGATTTTCTTAAATGGTCTGATTCTGGTTCTATGATCCTCTCCTGATATGTTAAAGAATCTTACATGAGGAATCAGATTTCGCAAAGTTTTACCCACAGCGTCAAAATCCTCATCTGTCCATTTTGAAACATCGATACTTAAAGATTTATGTTGGAAAATTCCCCACTTTAACACAAATTCCCATATTTCGATCTCTTCTATTCTAAGATCATCCCTTTTGATTAATAAGGCCATATACTCTTCTTCTAAAGACAAGAAATCACCAGCTTTTAGAATTTCCGATGGATTGGTGTTGACTATCATTTGGCAATAAGTTCCAAGCTTGGATAAATATTGATTATTTGTCGTAAGCCGGACTATCTTAACAAGATGTTGACGAATCCACTCTCCATGATTTTCGATGACGTAATCCTGTATATATTCTAGCAATTCGTCAAGGTTTAATTCATGAGACGCGGTTAAAAGTTCGAGATAAAATGGTTTTATCGCGTCTTCTTCCAAATCGATGGTCCCATTATATATATAACTATATTCAGAATATTTAATTATTTAGTAATAGCGACTGTAAATTAGGTGTTTGGCTTATTTAGAAAAAGTGATACGTCACTAACCTCAAAATAGGTCCAAAAACGCTAGGGGATATATTCTGCTGATGCAAGGTGGTTATGCCACTTTTCTTGGCGACTTTACCAGATAAAACCTCTCGGAAGTACGTGGACCTTGCACGTAGTATTACGGAGTGTGCCTGGAATTTCGCTACATTAGGTTTTTGACCACATACTACTACCACATTGAAATCCTCGGAAGCGCTATAAAGCTGACGTATATCGCGTATGAAAATACTTTCCAAAGTTGACGGCATTTCTACTCTTAAACGTATTGTAGCGAAGTTGTATTAAATTCCCGAGAAAAAACCGTTTGAGATTAAAATGTCTTGACACCAATCAAAGTTCATCTGTTAATATAAAAATCAATTTGACACGAGCATTTCCTAAATATAGCTGCGCCAGACAAATGTATAATGAGAGCATATACGCATAAACAATATATTTTCAAGAGTTATTAATATTCTTAGTAGCCAAAATATATTTAAAATATATCTCTTCTAATAATAAGACTTTAAGAAAAAAAAACTTTGAAAATTTCTTTTCTAAGAATTTTTTTTCTTTCCTCTTTATTATTATTATTAAGGTTACAATAAAAATATTTATTATCTATAAGATAGTTTATATAACTGGTATTCTTGAAAGATTAGAAACTCAAGAGTACAAGGTTTTCTTAATGTTATCTCAAAAAAAAAAAAATAGAACAAAAAAATTTTTATTAGATGAATTTTTTAAAAAAAATAATAAATAGAAAATTGATTTATATAGCTTTATAAAAAAAAATAATAATAAACAAAGAAATCAAATGATATATTGATATATATTTATGAAAATATATTATTGCTTCTAGTATTTTATCCTTTTTTTTTTTTAAGCTAGCTTGGCCAAGTTTATTAGCAAAGTTTTACTATATAGGTATATTCAATCAGAAGAAAAACAATGGAAAGCTAGTAAACCAATGATAGGTTAAAACCACTTCATGACTAAGCCATCTTCAGATAGAGATCTAATAAAGAACCATCAAGATGATAAAAATTTCTTAGAAAGGGGGTTAGTGTATATAATGAATCTATGTCTACTACAGACCATCCAATTTGTTTTGTTAATGTATTCAATACTCTACTTTATTATCTCTATTTAGAAAAGAAAAATAAAGCTAAGATTATACAAATTTAAACAAAGATGAAGATTCTGCATTACAAAAAAGATATTGAAAGGAAGAGGGGAAATGGTTTGATTATGAATGACTTGGAAACATACTATTACTACCATATTGATACTATAGGCTGGTTACTCTTTGAGGGCTTCATTAGTTCAAAGCACAATGCCTGTTTCTTTACTGCTTTTAGTACCACTATATTGTAGTCCTTGTCTATCAGTTCTTTGTTTTTTCCTTCTATATCCTATCTAGTATGTAATCTTATACTGATATTCTTCTAGATGATGATAAGTCAAATGTAAGAGTTCTAGGACATAAATAAAAGGGCACTGGGAACTATAAAATCTTCAGCCTAGAAAGAAAAATCTTGTTTTTTCCAGTATGTATTTTTATCAGTCTAACAAGTATTATACTGTTTTCCCCAAAATACAGTACTACTATTTGTAGAGATTGAACCATTGTTTAATGTTTCATTGTTACATATTATTTAATCACTTGAAGTTATTCGACTATATGTTAGTATTGTTGATTAGGTATGAATAATCCTAAGATCTTTCTGATCTTCCAATATTCATGTTAATAAAAAATAGGTGTAACACTTTTAAGACATTATCCTCATTCTATATTCCTTTGAGCTTAGTCTTTTTTCTTTTTTCTTAATAGACTAGAAGAGAGTGTATGTTTTTTCTCTTTCGCTTAACCAATAATATAGGAGTTGGCAGTGTTTATTATCTACTCGCACCAGGCATAATGACTTATAATAAATATCAGATTCTTATGGAGTTGAGAAAATATATTTGAACATATGAAGTGACCAATAGGAGCTTGTTTAATTCTTTTACTAATGTGAACTCTATCTACTCAATCACAGTGTGAAAAACTTTATACTACTCAAAATTCAGGATCAAATTGAGATAGACAAAATTCTCCAGAAAAAATCAAGAATGAGTACTATAAGAAGTAACAGATAACAAGAGTGTGGAAAAATTGTTTCTCATTATAACAATACTTCTGTAGTATTTCTCTATAGTATGAGATAGTAGCACATTAGTTCTTCTTCCTTTCAAAACTTTCTTGTCATAAATAGAAAAGGTGTTTTTTGATCTTTAAGATCACTAGAGATCAAGTTTTTGTTTAAAGAGGATAGTAAGCAAGAGAAGTGGAGGTAATTGATGGCTCTTGAAGCTTCTTCAAGTTGATTTAAGAAAAGTATTAAGACTTTATTAGCTTAGAAATATGAAAACTTTTTACAAATATCTTTTTTATATGTAATCAGAGGATCAGCCCTAGTATTTTATCCATATTATATATAAGTATGAAATGTTAAAAAAAAAATCTTTTAATATAAATAATTAGGATTTTCAATTTTAACTTTTTAATAAAATTTATTAATAAAATCTCTTTTTTATTTTTACTTCTTTTGAATACAAAAAATTATATTAATATTAGTATCAATTGATAAAAATAGTTGAAATCTTCAAACACTCAAATAGGCTTATCAAAAATAAATAAGTATTTTTTGATTTATTTATATAATTATTATTAAAATAAAAAAAAAATTTTTTATAATCAAAAAAAGATAATTCTAATACCAAAAATAAATAAAAAATTTTATAATTTTTACTATAATTTTTTTTTTATTTTTTTTAACCCACAATCATGCCGCAATGGTGTATCTTTATTACAAAATTGAAAATGAATTTACAATATTTTACAGATTTTCACAAAGTGACTAATTCGTCTTTATACAAAAGTACTTTAAGTCAGATTTTGGGAACAATATTTCACTTCCCTAATAAATTGGTAATAACTTCTATCTATCAGAATCATTGCCAACAGTTTGTCACTATTAATTGCCCAAAAACCAATAAATTGCTAAGTTAAAAGGGGAAAAGGGGAAGAATGATTGGGAAAAGGGGACAATTCAAGGCCTACCAAAAAAATCCAAAAATAAAAACAACCTTTTCTCAAAAGAGATTTGCCTGATTGAAATAGTTTTCTTGCTTCACTTGAACCTCAGAAGAAATCTTCTTTTTTATCACCTGTGGTATCGGATGAGTCAATTTAATTGATCTTTCATTTAAATGAGCACCAAATTAGGATATTTTAAGGAAAGCATTTAGACTTCAGCTTTTTTCTATTAAAGCTTTGTCATCACTTGAGGAATTTAGATAAAAGATGGGAATTTGAAATCCATATTACTCATCACTTGGTCTTTTGGTGTCATGGAAGTTTTCATTGAGGGACTTGAGCTTTTTGGAGGCAACCATTTTTAGAATCTTCTTTCCAATCACCAATAACATCATCAGAATACATGAATGTGACCAATAGGAGCTTGTTTACATTCCAAAAACTAATGTATTTCATGTCAGCCAATCACCTTTGGTGAGAATTTGTGCTATAAAAAATTCAGGGTCAAACTGAAGTAGGTAAAAACCATGAAAGCGATAGCTCTAAGAGGCTCAACAGTGACTGAAAGGGGAAAAATAAGCCCTTCTGTTATTAAAAACCTCTATATACCTCTCGCTTCAAAGATTAAAAAGACCTTCAGATATTTTACAATCAGTTCTTCTTCCTTTAGGAACTTTCTTGCTATTGGTATCAAAGGTTTTACTTGACTTTTCTTGATCACTAGAAGTCAAGTTTTTGAGTGAAGAGGTTTGTAAATAAGAAAGAAAGAGTAGAGATAACTCTTGAAGTCATACTTCAAGTTGTTTTAATGAAAGTGTTAAGACTTTATTAGCAAAGTAATATAAAAACTTCTTGCGAACATCTTTTTTGTGTGTGGTCAGAGGATCAGCGGAAAGAGTTGATAATTTTTACTATAATTAAATTGATTCAATTATTAAAAATCTATAATATTATAGTAATATATATTTACAATTAATAAGAATCTTTTTATATTTTATTACAATATATTTCATGCTTATTAATTATTATAAAAATAGTTTATTTTATTAAAAATTCAAATTAAACTAAAATAAACAAAATTTCTTAATATGATTATAAAAAGTAAATATTATTGGGAATTCAATATTATATAAGAAAATTTTATATTTTTGTATAATATATTGCTTCTAAATTATTATTGTTTTAATAGTATAATATTATTTAGATCGGTTATTTTTTTAAAAACTTTTTTTTATCAATAACAAAGATATTTTATTTTTATTTTTGTTTTATTTATTTATTTTTAAAAATTTTTATTGATATTTTATCAAATATAATGCATAATATAGTGATTAAATTTATATTTAATCAATGTATCCAAGTGAAATTGTTTTTAAAAAGACAATTTTCAAAGAAACAATTAAAGAAACAATTTATAATAATTAAAGAAATATCAAAGAATAGATTCATCAAGAATCCTTTAAAATAGTATTACACAATATTTCACAAGAAATATAGTTTACTCAGAATCCAAGTTTATTAATAAATCAAGAAAACTAAAAAACTTTCTTTAATCCTAAAATTAAAAAAAGATATTCAATATTAAAAAGTTAAGTGAAATTATTATTAAACATATTTTACTTTTAAATAAACTATGACTATTTATATACTTGTAAAAATGAATCACTTGGACCATTTGAATCTTATAGGCCTTCTGGACTGTTTAATCTACAATAAATTATGTCATATACTACTTTTGATAAAGTAATTTGCATTAATTAAGTATTAATTTTTTTTTTTTAAACCCTTTGTCAGGCTAATTATATGTGCTTTATTAAACAATTGTAAGCTGTACATATAGTATGAATCGCTAAAGCTAAAACTTTAACTAGCTCAC